CCACCCTCCAAACCAACCATTCCCTTCTGGTGAACCATTGTTGCCAATCTCCAGGTGAGGGCTGGAGATCACTCAAAATTACAACTGTTCTTTAGGTAGCAGAGATCAGTTCCTCTGGAGAAAATGGTGGACTCAGTGCCATTACACCCTGCTGAGGTCGCCACAACAAATTGACACTGAGTGTCCAAGGCCAGGGCACCCGCCCAGAGCCTCTTTCTAGAGATCGTTGTATTTATTTCCACAACGGACCTTTTTCCTAGTTGTTTTTTATTGCTGTTTTAAAACTACTCACACTTTTCTGGGAAGATACAGAAGTTTCCAAACTGATCTGAATCCAACCCTTGGAACAAACCAGGTCCTCCTGGACAGATCTTGTCTCCAGAAAAAGCCAGCAGGGTGCAGAGTGCTGATCGGCTGGCCCTCTGGCAATCATGAAGCCCCTCCCCTTTCCTACCCACAACAATGCTTCAAGTTTTAGGTTTTTTTTAAAAAAAACAAGTTCAGTAGCCTTAGTGTTATTTTATTAAGTCAAGCAAGACGAAGCAGGTTGCTGGGAAGAACAGTGTTAAAGGAAGGCCCAAACCTTGGGGGCAGGGCAAAAATTAAAATCAACCTGAAAGAGGCAGATGCACTTGTCGATACAAGAACAGGGTCACTCAGGAGAAAACAGCAGAAACTCTACACCTGGAGAGAGGTATGTCTGTCTTCACTCTTACTTGCCTACTCATTTCCCAGCTATCTTCAGTGGCACACAGCGGGCCAGGAACAAGGCTAGGGTTACCAACTTCAAGTGGAGCCCGGAGTTCTCCCGGAATCAAACTGACTTCCAGATCCGAGTAGGTTTGCCAAGTTCCTGCTGGGGGGAGGACATATGGGAACACTGTCGCTCAGCTGGGTGACAGGAGAAAAGTGGAGTGGGGGTGTGACAAGTGATCGTCAGTGTCTCAACATGTTGACATCACTTCCGGCATGACCAGAAGTGATGTCAGTGCGTTGCTGGCAAGGTGTCCCCACGGTGAGTCCCCCACCAGTTGCCAGCCTGGTGTTGGCAACCCTAGCCACCACAGAGATCTGTTCCCCAAGGGAAAAAAGGCCACTTTGGAGGAGGGTCAACTCTGTGGCACTATACCCCACTGAGCTCCCTCTGTTATCCAAACTCTGACCTCCCAGGCACCATCGCTGCATGATCTCCTAGGCCAGAAATGGCAACCTAAGGACTAGAATAAGGACCAGATTCTCATGACTGCAGGAAACAGGAATAAGCTGTCCATCTCTAGCCTGAGAACTGGCACAAAAGGGCCAGGCTGTTCCTGCTCAAGATTCTCTGTGAATCCCACCATCTTCCTTTACTTGACCAAGATGTGGGAGAAAAGTCTTTCCCTCATGCATGACACATGACTTGAATACATTCTGGTTTCAGAAGCATTCAACCAAACCCCAGTTTTTCATGTCTGATGCAGGCATCTGGGCAAATTGGAGCTTGTATATTCGATACACATTTTCTTTGAAAAATCCCACTGAACTCTTTACATTTGAGTGAGTGCGCATCTGGGCAAATTGGAGCTTGTATATTCTATACATATTTTCTTTGAAAAATCCCACTGAACTCAACAGCGTTTATATTTGAGTGAGTTTGGATTGCAGCACAAAGCAAATCAAGGTGAACTGTCTTTCCCCAGATAATATATTTTTGTGCTAGGATCTCATGCTAAACAACAAAAGTAACCGGCATGTATACCAGTAGTAAATGATAGAAATCACAGCAGTGTTACTGGACAATGGCAAGAAGAGAGGAATCTTCAACACTTTATCAGATTATGTGAAATTACTTGACCAGCCTCCACCACACCAAGGCAAACGGGAGCATTTCCCCCCCTTTCTGCTTACTGTAGTAGCTGCACCTAACTTGCAATTTGTGGCCATAGGATACAACCCCCATAGAAAAATGGACCATAATTACAGTGTTGGTCTTTTTTTTTTTTAATTGAATAGTAAAGTGCACCTAACTAAACTGTTCCAGCTGTCATTCGTTGCAAGATTCAGGACGTGATCTGACTTGCAGCCAGTAACACTTATGTCGGAGCAACTTCCAAGCTATCAGAGTCATTTTTACAGCCTGAACTAGCCTTGCATGAAACCTAACAAATAAAGTAAAAAAAAGGGGGAAACTCCCACATCTAATTGTTTCTTTTGCAGAATGCCCCCCCCCCTTCTCCTGGAGGTTTGCCGTGCTCCCTCTTGAGGCCGAGACCTCGGGGGAAGGCGCAGCAAACTCTGAAAGGCGTTGCGCACAGAAGCCGCTGGTGGAGCCGATCTCTGTCTCTAGAACCTGTTTTACTGCCTAAGCAAGTTTCTCCCACAAACACACACTCCCTGTGATTCAAGTGAGATATGAAGAACCCATTTCAAACATTCCACCACTATTGTGCTTTTCCATTTGAATTCTGTTTTGCTCAAGAGGTCGCCTGGGGTGGGTGGGGGGAATAATCCAGAAAAAGGGGAAACTTTGACACTTGCATCATCTGCTAGAATCCAAAAGAACTATTCTCCACCCTCTGTGTCAAAACACAACATCCAGGCAGGGATGCAATTCTGTCGGAGATCAGCAAAAACAGCCTCCATATACCTGCGCATAGAATTCAACTCTCTGGGAACATAACTTTTTTTTTTTCCTTTTTAAAAGAAAGTGCCTCACCTTTGTGGTTCTCATAATTTTAAGCTTATGCAAAGAAACTAGATCTGCATAATTTCTCCTGATCTGAACTGATACAGGTTGCAGAGTTATTTGCTGCAGAATTCAAATGACCTTGTCATAGTTTTGTCAGCTCCGGGAAGGAAAATTTCTGGAGATATGGGGGCAGAGCCTGGAAAGGGTGGAGTCTGGAGAGAGAAGGGACCTCAGCAAGCATGTGACATCATACAGGGCAGCCCCTGAAACTGCCATTTTCTCCACAGGAATTGATCTATGTGGACCGGAGATCGGTAATAAGAAAACCGGACCCCACCTGGAGCTTGGAAACCCTACCTTGACACAGAATATTATAGCATTTTTTAGTGTCAAAAATACACAGATGCTTGACGTAGCCATGCCCGGGCATCCAAGTTCTTCTAAAGCTGGACAGAAATAAAAGAGCACCAAGTTGTGCAGATCACCGTAGACATGGCATCCCCTTCCACTTGCCTGTGAGAATGATGGGGGATATGGAATCTAATTTTCAGTAGCAAGAGGGAGTCCTCGAAACTGTGGGATTAACAGCAAAGCCAGGGTGGTGGGGTAGCTAGAGTGCCAGGCTGTGAACTGGGAGACCCAAGTTCGAATATCTACTCTGCCACAGAAGCTCGCTGGAAGACCTTGGGTCAGTTACACACTTGCAGCCTCACATACCTCACAGATTAAAATGCAGGAAAGGAGAATGAAGTAAACTGTTTCAGCTCCTCGCTGGGGAGAAAGGCAGGGTACGAATGAAGTAAATAAATACATATGAAGTAAATAGAAGAACAACAGCCACAGCTAAAGTAGGGCTGGGCCTAGGGTTACTACCGCCGAGTAGGGAAATTTGGGGGGCGGAGCCTGAGGAAGGCAGGGTTTGGGATGGGGAGGGACTTCAGTGGGGTCTAATGCCACAGAGTCCACCTTCCAAAGCAGCCATTTTCTCCAGGTGAGCTGATCTCTGCCACCTGGATATCAGTTGTAATAGTGGGAGATCTCCAGCCACCTCCTGGGGGTTGGTAACTCTACCCAGGGCTCAGTGGGCCGAACACCCTCCTAGTCTCCAGAAAGGGCCAGATTTGATTCCTGGCATCACAGCTGAAAGATTCTTAGCTAGCAAATGTTGGGGATGGGGGAGACCTGAGACCCATCTTCCACAGAAGCTTTATACTGCCCCCTTTTCACACTGAGGAACAAAACACTGGGCCTTTTGGGGACCCCACTGTGGCCTATGCCCTCACATAAGTCTCCACATAATTCAAATTTTCAAGACTAAGAAGCCAGCACCCCATAGCAGGCCATGGATGTGGCCTGGAATGGTGGGAATTTCTCTCTTCAACTCATTTGAACTTAAGACCCCTGGAAGAAGTGGTACTGGTTTTAGGTGCCCAAGTTTCAGGCACAAATCCCAAAGAGCTCACTGATTAACCTTGAACAAATAATTCACTCACCTTTCTAACCTCTGTCATAGGGTAATTTAAAGGGGGGGGGCAACAGTGAAGTCTTTTACACAGTGGGTCGTCTCACATTTGAGTCACTAAACATACTGCGAGTAAGAACCACCACAACACTGAAGCGCTTTTCACATGTAACTGGCAGCTCAAAAGAGCAGTGCATATGGACTCTGAAGGGCGAGTTCACACCTGCGAGTCCACCACAGAAACAAGCACAACATCCAGCAGTCACCTGAATGCATGAAACAGCTGTCACAGATCAAACACCTCAAAGTACAATTTGAATTAAATACACATTTAATTTTACACAAATGCACCCCCCGTTGAGTCAGGTATTCTCCCTTAGATATTCTTTATATTGTGCTCTTGACCATTCAAAGCATTTCATTTTTATGATTCCAGCAAATCGTTACCACCACGGAGAGGAGAGAGAATTCAGGTTGGCCTGAGATTATCTACGGAGCTCAAGGAAGAGGAATCATTTGGACTAGGGGCTTCGTGGCTCCTAGCTCGAGCTTCTGGTTGCCAGCCACCCTGTACCAGTTCTCAGAACTTGTCACAGCAGACACTCAGCTCCCTGCCACCCAGTGACGAGCACAGTAGGGTGTACACCCACACATCATAAAACCAGCCCCAATCCCTTTTCATAAGTCCAGCTCAGCAGGTTTCCTTTTCAAGGAAAAACCTTCCCTGTTCCAGCGCTTCTGCCCCAAAGGACGTTTTTGCCACTGATTTCAAAGCCTTAAAGCAAGTCTGTTTGCCATGTTACATCAGATGGAGTCCTGCTCCTTGGGCCTTAACCGCTCCCTGTGCCGTAACCCCCTCAGAGTCCTCACCTGTTGAAGAACCCGATCCAGTGGCTCAGCTTTACTCAGTCCCTCGGGGGTTAAGCCTGTCACTTCTCGACACTGGTCACTCAACTCCAAGCTGTCTGCCTTCACCAAGCATTTGTGCAGCGTCCCTACCTGAAAATATTTCACAAAGTGGGAACGTGGGAATTGGGGAGGGAGAGACAAAAGTAAGAAGCTGGAACTTTAGGTGTTTCATGTTGACTTTTTTTTTTTTAAGGTAAAACATAATGACTTGCACTGCTGGAGTTGTAGAGAAGGGACGGGGCTCATAGTTTGAATAATGCATTTATTTCTGTCTCTCAGAACTCAAGGTATGTTTGATCTCTCAAGGCCTCTCCACCAGGAGAGACAGAGAGACTACCACTCACCCCCTTTGCAAAGAGACCCAGCTGCCATTCTTGTATAATACTGAGAAGTACACATTTACCCTACCAGAAACTGTCTGGTTTTCATGGGAAGGTCAAATCACATGGCAGGCAGAGAGGCTCCTTTAATTGGGTTCGGCCAGACTGACAACTGGGCAGACAATTTTTTTTTAAAAAAAAAACAAAACAGTAACGACTTCAAGAGTTTGCTTCATTGAAAGAAGAAGGGGAAATTTAGACTCGCTCTTATCCGCGAACAGAAGACCTTCCCCAGGGTGTTCAATTACCATATAAAGCGACAGGTCCCAAGAGAAGCATGCAGGCCTGATTTTCTTTAAACACAACAACCAGATATCCCAGTGAGGAAACCGCTCAATTTCTGGAAGAAGGAAAAGCTTTGGCATTTCTAACCGAGCTTATAAAAAGCCCTGTGCTTGGGAAGAGGGGTAAAGAGCTGTGATTTTGTAAATCTCTGTAAATTTCGTAATCTTTAAGATCACTCTGACTTTCCAATCTCTCAAACACAATTGTGAAATCAGCAAATCTGCCCCTATGCAGGGGGAGGGGGGACAATTCTGGCCAGACAACTAAACTCACCCCCCCAAAAAAAGTTTGAGGAGGAAGAGGGATAGCAGTCCAATGTTTTCTCAACGGCAAACCCCAGAGAACTGGGTGGGATTTATTCTCAAGGAAGCATGGGCAGCCATGGAGTTTCTTTCTTTTTAAACACACACACACACACACACACACACACACAAAGAAGTTTGCTTTTTTTGCATATCACCCAACTTTTTGCACATCACCCAACTTTTGTATCAAGAGTTTGGGAAGCCATACCTTCTTGCTTTGTAGATCCACAACTTGCCACACCAAGAGAATTAGTTCCCTCTCATCGGAACCCAGCTTAGCCCCATATGCACCAGCTGTTGCCCCAAATAAGACCACCACAGAGTCACTGTGCGAAGAAGCCGTCATGACCACAGGGAGAGACAACTACAATCAAAAGCACAGGTAAAAACAAAAAAGAGAGAAAGAACGAAGGAGGAAAATAAAAAGGGAAGGGGAGGGGGAAAAGGAGAGAAGAGAAAAAGGTAACACAAACCAAACACAAAAACCCCACACGTAAAGGGTCACCCCCTTCCTCCAAGTGGAAATCAAAAAGGGCAATATCAGAAAGCCAGAACTATGGGGTAGGGGAGGGTCAGGGAGAAGAGTAGCGCTTACACACACCCACAAAATAGATCAAGGAGAAGAAATCTCGCCATTGTACCTGGATGGGCTGGATCTCTTTTCTCCCTGGGTCTGACTGGGAGACGAAATCAACAGGCTGTTAGCTTCTGTCCCTTTGACATCATGGCAGGAACTCAGGCTCCGGGTATATGTTTTTTTAAAAAAATCTTTTTTCACCCTCTCTCCTCTCCTTTCCTAAGTTACCTGCCCATGAGAGAGACCATGTGACCCTAGTCAATCTCCCCACAGGGCAAAACCATTGGGCCTTTAGAAAAGGTGTAGGAGGGACGTAAAGAGATCAACGCCTGCTACAGCCTACCTGATTGGATTTTTTTTGACTGAGAGAGATCACAAGGGAAACTCCCTTTCTGCCCCCCCCCCTCTCATTTTTAATTCTGGCTCCAGGAAGTGCTTTACCTGCTTTGAGTTTAACGTGTCTTTTTATCAGCACTGAGCAAGTGGAATGCAGTAGATTGCTTCCCCCCCCCTCCCTTTCCACAAAGGTATGGGGGCCTCTTTTTGCTTGCAGAAGACTCTTCGACTAAGCAATATTGTGTTTCAACAAGCTTTTCTTCTACAATTTCATTTGTCATCTTTTGCCACCTGGGCACAGCTCTCTCTCTCTCTCTCTTTTGAATCCTTTAATTGTTTTGAAGTAATACTCCTCCACACGCCTAGAGCCCAACCCAATGCAGAGTTAAAGTGTGCTTACAACACATCAATCGACCTTATTAGGAAATAAATCCCATTACATCTGAGGAAACATAACGCAGGGTCAGGCTTCTTGAATTGCAGCTTTATGTTCACTTGCAGCCAGAGAATCTTTGGTGGTAGAAAGGGCTGCCTAGTTGCAGTCCACTTATGGCAACCCCGTAGGGTTTTCAAGGCAAGAGACCAACAGAATTGGTTTGCCATTGCCTGCTTCTGAATAGCGACCCTCGACTTCCTTGGTGGCCTCCTGTCCAAATACTAAACAGGGCTGACCCTGCTTAGTTTCTGAGATCTGATGAGACAGGCTAGCCAGAGCGTGTTTACTCAGAAGTAAGTCCCACTATGTTAGATGATCAGGAGTAAATCCCATTCCAGATAAGGCTAAGTTTCTGTGCATGTCCATTGAATTAAATACACTAGGATCGTGGGGCATCAGTATGCTCATCTGTTTGAGTTCTGTCGCACTGTTTCTCTAAGGAGATCCAGGCAGGTTCCTTCCGTTCGTCATCTTTTATCCTTACAACCGTTCTTGCGAGGTAGGTTAGAAAGACAGTTTTGACTGGCTCATCATAAGCTTCATGGCAGAAGGGGGCTTGAACTGAGGTGTCCCTAGTCCAATAGCAAAAATATCCTAAAATGATGATTTAGATCAAACTATGCTGCAAAGTTCTGTATTATTAAACACCAATTTTTTTGTTTATCAGTGTTTTGGGGTGTTTTTTTTAAAGGGATTTTCACTGGGAGAAGAGATGAACTCAAAAGGATACTTGTGAATCATAGAAAGAGGCATGTTTTAACCTTCAGTTAAAAATGCACATTATTCCAAAACAGAGCTATGATAAATGGACTTTAAATGAAGTTTAAAGAAACTTAGCACTTCCCTGTAAACTGCCAAGTTTTCCCACTGCACCTATAACCTCAGGCAAACCCACACAGCTTTATAAAGTACGGATTTAAAGGGATTCACCATTCTCCTTGCCCGGTCGTCTCATCCAGTGCTGCTACCACTAGCAAAAACCACCCAGCCTTGAGATGATCAGAAGTCCCTCCCTCCCTCGTCTTTGGGACAAGCTTGGCTGGTCAGTTTTTAGAATCTTTTTCTTCTGATTCTCCTTTCTGGAGAGCAGCTTATCCTCTAAGGTTCTCTGGTTTGCTGGAAGGGTGTCAGCTCCCCCCCCCCCCATTCCCAACTCTCTCTCTCTCTCCAAACAGCAGTAGCAGAGGGAGACTTTGTAAAAAGGATTTTGCCTCTCAGGCCTGTCTTTCACTGCTGGGAAGCCCCACTCATACAGCATCCTGCATTCAGTCTGGGCTCCTTCTTTTCAGGATAGTCCAGAAGGGTAGCTGTGTTAAGTCTATTGTAGAAAAAAAATAAAAAAAGTCTAGCAGCATCTTAAAGACTAACCATGTGAGTCAGAGCTTACTTCTTTCCAGTCAGGCCTGCTCTGGGTCCTTAGGATAGAAGTGACTCAGGACCAGTTTGGTTGCTTTGGTGGAAAAGTGCCATGAAGTCACACCTGATTTATGGTGACCCTGAAGGGTTTTCAAGGCCAGAGACATTCAGAGGTGGTTTGCCATTGCCTGCCTCCATGTCATGACACTGGTATTCCTTGGAGGTCTCCCATCCAAACAGTAACCAAGGCTCACCTTGCTAAGCTTCCAAGATCTGATGAGATTGGGCCAGCCTGGGCCAGCCCGGTCAGGGGATGGTTGCTTTATGGAGGCAAGACCTCAGATAACATCTTCATCACTCATGAAGCAGAAAGAAAACTCTTGCAAAGAAATGCAGCTTCTGAGAATCCCTCACCAGCTCTCTCTCTCTTCTCCTCTTCTCTGCTGCTTGACCCCCCCAACTCAGGGGTGTCAAACTCATTTGTTATGGAAGGCCAGATTTGACATAAATTGGACTTTGTTGGGCCGGGCCATGTTTGTCATAAAATGTAATGCCAGGGAGCGGAGAGATAAACTTAATAAAGGACACAAACACAAAGGTGTTTTTTTAAACTTAAAATACAGTCCTGCAATATTTTGTTATTTAACAGTCTCTGATAACTGACACTTCTTGCTTTGAATTATTGCATCAAAATGTCTGTGCTGTAGCAATCTGGGAGGGGAGGAGCCTCAGCCCAGTGCAGGAAGCAGAAGCTTGCCTATCTCTCCTGAGTGATTGAGAGAGTCTGGGAAAGCAAGCTATGACACAGCAGCAGCAGAACTGGAGGAAGAAACAGAAGACAGCCAGTCCCTTGAGGGCCTGATAGAAGCCTTCTGGGGGCCTCGTCTGGCCCCCGGGCCACATGTTTGACACCCCTGCCCTAGCTCCTTTCTTGCTGATTCTTTAGCAAGGCAACGTTAGGAACGGACCAGGAGTAAAATTTTAATATGCAACTAGGGCACAACAAGGAGGGGGGAATGGGGTAAAGAAAAAAAGACCCCTGAATTTCATCAGAAAGCACTGATACAGGGAAGCTTTGTTAAATGCTCTGAAGAGAAACAGCCCTTCTCTCTTTTCACAGAAAATCACTTCACATTTAGAAGAGTTGGTTTTTTATACCCCACTTTTCTTTACACTAAGGAGCCTCAAAGTGGCTTACAATAGATTTCCTCTCCCCACAACAGGCACCTTGTGAGGAAGGTGGGGCTGAGAGAGTTCTGAGAGAACTGTGACTGGTCCAAGGTCACCCAGCTGGCTGTATGTGCAGGTGGAGTGGGGAATCAAACCTAGTTCTCCAGATCAGAGTCTGCCACTCTTAACCACAATGCCATGCTGGCTTTCTTATGTATTTTTCTTATATAATACCCAATTTTTCTCTACAATTGGGAACCAAAGCAGTTTACAATATCACCCCCACTTCCTCCATTTTATACCCAGAATTAGCCTGTGAGGTAGTTTAAGCTAACTAGACACAGTTCAGCAAACCAGCTTCCATAGTAGAGCAGGGATTCAAATCTGGGTCTGCACCCCAGATGCTAGTCTGCCATAGTGATGCCAACCTCCAGGTGGGACCTGGGGATCCCCTGGAATTACAGCTCATCTCCAGACTACAGAAGTCAGTTCCCCGGTGGGAAATGGATGCTTTGGAAGGTGGACTCAATGGCATTGTACCCTACTGAGGTCCTTGTCCTCCCTCCCCAAACGTCCAAGAGTTTCTCAACCTGGATCTGAAACCCCTCCCTCCCTCCCTCCCTCCATCCATCCCCACCGGTGGCCAAGGGGGACCTGGCAACAGACACTCTAACCACTGCACTGTGCTAGCTGAACAGGTGACAGTTATTAAGTATGCAAAAATGTAAACAAAAGAAAGTTCCCATCCAGTGTTCCCTTTAAGCTGAGTTAGTGTGAGCTAGCTCACAGTTTTTTAGCTTCCAGCTCACACATTTTGGTCTTCGCTCAGGAAGGATGGCTCCAGAGCAAACTAATTTATGCAGTAGCCAAATCACTCACTCACAACTTTAATGCCAGTAGCTCACAAAGTAAAATTTTTGCTCACAGACTCCACAGCTTAGAGGGAGCAAATATAACAGAACAGGCACAAGCTTTGTATCTGCTACCACCTTCTTCTTTTTTTCTCTGCACTTATCTCCTGCTGATCACTGGTATACAAAGCAAATTTCATAGCAGAGTCTACCTGAAATTAAGATTATGGTAACAAAAAAGGTATATCTATTAAATAGAGGGGGACTGTTAAATTTATGGCCTGTGCCTTTAACAACAGCAGGATGGGCAGATATAGCATCTGAAGCTTTCTCTAATGATGAATTTCTTGTAATTATTAAAGGCACAGGAAATCTACTTGTAATTATTTTTTTTGAGCCCCCGGAGGGGATTTTTTATTATTATTTTTCAAACTACAAAAACTATCACAGAAAAAGGGAAGGGGGACTACATATACGGGACAAAGTATAGAAACCCACTACTGACTAAAAACCCAAGAGAGGAGATCCTCACTAGCTTCATTACATCAAATCTTCACTTCATTTAGATCAATATAAACTGAGTCTGACATTTAAGTACTTTTTCCTTTTCATTAACTCTTAAAACTTAACTGTCTAAGAACAGTACCCCACAGTCATCCCCATTCACAGTTCTCAAAGGCACAATTCAGAGTCTTTCAGCTTTTACTTCTCTTTTCCTCATCAAAATCTACTTGTAATTATTAAAGACACAGGAAATCTACAGGGGGGGGGGAGAGTTGTAATCATCTGTCACACACCCCCACACACAATTATAGAGGAAGGTCCCAGCTCTATAGTAAACTGAGCATGATTTTCCAAATGTGAAAAGTGTTCACTTGTCTCCTTTTGGCTGTGGTCTGATTTTGACTTTAGGAGTCTGCCAATAACCTCACCAGAGAGAGGACCACAATATATAGTGTAGAGGGGAAGACGGGAGAACATCAGACACATCATTTGGATGAGTTGACTTACATACCAGTGCTCAGAAGGTGGAAGCTTTTAGATCATTAAAAGCCAGAATGTGG